GCCACAAACCACTATCACCTGCACCTTAAACACGCTACAAATTTACAGTGGAAAACACAATTTAATACCTGTAGAAGCAAGTTTTACTTCTGCTTCAAGTGTAAACGAGCTCCAGTATAAAACAAGGGACAAAACCCTGATGATTTATGTTGAGTTTAATTTCAACAGTGGCAGACATCCTTTGATGATATAGGACTGTGATGTGTGGACCAGAATTTGATTGGCCAGAATAATTATCATGAGTATAATTGCACGCTTGGATCTTTCAATGGGCCTTCTAAACATGCTAGTGAGGTTTGGCCAGACTTCGAGATGGACCATGCAATAACTTAACAAATCCAAGGAAACTCAACTTTCCATCAGTGTGCCTAATCCAGTCGTGAAGGACAGCATGAACAGGGACAGATGGACCAAGCCCAAGCTCCTGATTATATAGTCAAAACCACACATGAGAAATGGAATGTATTTCCTAACTAAAGAAACTGGTTTGTTGATAAATTCAAACCCAAAATAGAAGATACACAACTGCTAATAAAAAAGCTACATAGGTTAACCCATAAACTTTGCATGAACTGAATAAACTAGGGTCATTTGGTTTCAGAAAATGTTCTATTTTCTTTTTTAATTACAAAATGTCATTATTTTCACTCTTCTTTTCTTTTTCAAAAGTTTATATAAGAAACAGTAGAAACAGAAATTAAAAACAAAGAACAAGGCGAAGTTGTTTTCGATGTTTCCTACACAAACTTTTTAAAAACAAAAACAAAAAAAAATGAAAAGAAGGTGATAGTTTTATAATGAAAAGTTTGTTCATTTACAACGTTGAAACTTGTCCTTCAACAAACTAAAAAAGAAGGGGGGAATTTAAATATCTTCATTTACAAAATGGTTGACACAGTAAGATTATCCATATCAAGAATTCCGAAGTTAAAGTAATGGTCGAATCAAACATACCGAAGCTAGTTCCTCAATGACTATAGCTCTATTTCCATCCTTTTCAAAAAGTTCATAGGCACAGCGGGCATGTTGCTCCCACCGGTCAAGTGCTTCAAGTTGATGAACACTGAGTGCAGCTGCGCAGAATTCATCAAAAGCCATCCTTCTATATTGCAATGCATTAAGCTTCCACCAAAATCATTTGTATCAACAACCAAAAAATATCATTTGAATCATATATAGAGGCATTCCAAAGCTAAATCAAAGCACTTACTGATGCCAAAAAATCTGGAATGCGCGATTCCTTCATAGCATCTGTTGCATTTTTCATTAAGGCCTGGCCAGCTCAAATTATGAGATTTCAAACATCATTCTCTTGATATAGTGTATAAAAAGAGTTGGAAAGAAACCAACCGCTTTGACATTTTCCAAGCTAATAGTGTTAGTTTTGTTTGGCTCTAAAAGCGCAAACTGCTCCTGCAAATACTGCAACTCTTCAGTAGCTAATGTCTTAGACAAAGCCTGTTCCAATGCCATCATCATATATAGGCATGTAAGTCATTGGAAAACATACAAAAGTTTGAAAAAAAAAAAAAAGGAATGGGGAACACTGGAATGGAATAGTAGCAAAAAAATTATTAGGACAAAAAAAAAACTTTAAAAACAATGCTCAAGACACACCTAGCAGGTCTAGAGAGAAACTCTACATACATAGAATTTTGATAGAGACTTGGGTGCTGTGAAATTTTAAAGTCTTACCTCGAAAGTTAGAAATAGAAACTATGCATATGTAGTGTTTTGATAGGAACCTAGGTACTATGGAATGTCTGAATCTTGTATCGAGTAGCATGGGTTGTTTGGTGAAGTATTTTAGTGTTTGCTTCTTCTCTTAACAACTGGTTTTTCCAAGTGTTTGAGTGATTATCAAGTGGTATCAGAACTAGCTGTTGGTCTCGAAAAGGGTTATCTAGGAGGGTTCTCACCAACGAGAGTTAAGTGAAGTATTGTCAAGTAAAGTGTTGTACAGTGAAAAACGTAGACTTGTCGGTACGAGTACTCAAGTGTTTTGTTATCTCCAAATGCCTGGGTTCTTATCAAAAGAATTTTACCCTGAACTTCTAATTTGCAAATAGCATTTCATCAGTTCACTATGAGTCCATCTAGTTGGAATTGCAAAACAAACATCTCCTGGTTTATTACTCAGATTATTCATGCAATAATCAACCAAGCCTGATTTTAAACATACAATAAACTCTTGAACGTACAGCATACCTATTAATTAAGAAGGTGAAGATTAATAAACCAATTGAGTTAAGAGGGGACATACCCAAGGTCTTATAGTTTACCAAAGGCTCTTTTCCATTCAATATCAAGACAATTTGTAAAGAAATATACACATACCCTTAAAGCTGCTTTTCGTAGAGAGGAAGAACGCATGTATGTCTTCATGAGTTTGAACACTAGAATATCCAAAGGTACTTTTACATCCTTATAATCTTTAATCCACGGATGACCTGCAGTATACACCTTATAAGGAACATAATATAATATATGAATAACCGATACCCTCAAATGATAGATGAGAAACTTACTCAATGCCTGTGCTGCAGTCATTCTTTTCCTTGGATCTTTATTTAGAAGTCTCTTAACAAAATCCTTTGCCTCATCTGATAGAGAAGGCCATGGAGGTTCATCAAAACTTGGAGTAGCTTTCAATACCGCACGGAAGATCCCAGATTCAGTCCGTGCCCAAAATGGACGACTGCCACATAGTAAAATATACGCAATCACACCAACACTCCAGACATCAGCCTCTGTACTGTAAGCTCTATGCAGAACTTCTGGAGCCACATAGTATGCACTACCCACAATATCATTAAGCCTTTCATCTGTAAATGAAAAACGAAAATTGTAACCCAAACCGAAGTGGACTGAGAAAAGGCAACATGCATAAAACGACTCCAAAAATACCTGGTTTGACAAAATCTGATAATCCAAAGTCAATGGCCTTCAGCTCAGAATTCTCTTCTTTGGATGTGAATAAGAAATTCTGATCCAGAATTTACCAATGGTTAGAAGTCATACTTGATAAGAATTGATAAGACAAAGCCAAATAACCAAACCAGACATAAACACGATCATTTCATTAAGTAGGATATCGGAAACCATCCTAACAGATGATGATATGTCCTTATGTTATCCTCTTCCAGTCCATTTCCACTTGTTTCTTTTTCCCCACTTTTTCAAGGAGGAGGAGACAGTCAATCTTATAATGCAGGTTAAAAAAGTAAAAAGAAATTGCAAAAACACTTCACCTCAGGTTTAAGATCACGATGCACAACACCTTGTAGATGGCAAAACGCAACAACATTTAGTATTTGTATCATGACAGCTTTTGCATCTTCCTCCGTGTATTTTCCTCCTCTGCAAAAGGAAACAAACTGCTCACACCGGCAAAGAATCACACATTTTTCTTTTTAATCAATTTCATTAATCCCCCTTCCCCCCCACACCATCAGTATCCAAACAACACAAACCCAAAAGAACAAACATTTAACAAACAGATACCTCGACAATATTCTGTCCAAGAGCTCCCCTCCTTCGCACAACCTGAGACCCACAAGAGAGCGAGAGAGAGAGTTACAACAGTCACCACACAAAAAGGAAAGCAGCAAAAGATGGAAAATAATACATCAAATCAACCTACTCCATTACTATGTAGACATTGTCATTATCCTCATATGCATCGTGGAACTGAATCAGATTCTTATGTCCAGTCAAAGCCCTCAATATCTTCACCTCCCTCCTCACATCCTCAATTGCAATTGCAGTGGTCATCTTAAGTAAATTCAAACCAACTTGTTATTCACTTCAAATCTTATTATATACCACGTTGACTAATACAACATCCAAAATAACATATAATAGTACAAGGATTTGGGTTTGATTGAATTAACTCCAAATCCAATTTTTAACAGAGATTTCAAATCAGAAGCAGAAAATGGTTATCTGATGGTTTTCGGAGCAGGGGTTGAAACCAACCTTGGCTTTGGGAATGACCTTGACGGCGACGTGTTGGCCTTTGAATTGGCCCTTAAGGAACTTTGCAGCACAAGTGTATCCAAAGTGTCCTCGTCCAACCTCGTCCCCAACCTCAAACTTTTGCTCAAACTGTTTAGAGAATCCGAAGTTCTTGTCAAGAGCAACCACTTCATCTTCTGGGATGGTAGCTTCGTTGGGCTTAACAGACCCATGACGCCGGGCCAGCACGGCCCGAATGTGCTTCGCCGGCGATGGAGGCTTAAAGAACCGCCGGGGAGTCGCCGGCGCCGGAGACTTGCCTGAGAAAAAGTGGTGGGCCGGGCTCGGAGTGTAGAACGGGAAAAGAGGAGATTTTTTTGGAGTAGGAATAGGATTTTTGGGTAATTGTTCATTGGCATTGGTGTCTGGGAAGTGGGTGTTGGAATTGTGAGAAGAAGAGTGTGTGGGGTTTGCACGAGGCTTTGAACTGCAGAGACCCATTGTGATATGATCCGAGGTTGAAGTCAAAGGAGTGAACTTGAAGAGTTGAAGCAGATTCGGAAGATGATGGGTTCTGTCTTGTGGGAATTAAGGTTGGGTTGGGTTGTTTTGGTGTCAGAGTTTATGAATGAGAACGGTCTGGCGAGAAGAAAGAACATGAGTAAGAAAGAGAGAGATCTGAGGAAAGTGATAAGAAAGAAACGACGAGACTTTCGCCTTTTTTGTTGCACCCAACGGAAACAACCAAATTAAATTTGTTTCTTATTGTTATTATGGGCAGTGACGTAGTTACATCGATAACTATTCTTCTTAACTTCTTCTTCGGCTACGTAGTACTACTAGTGCTGTGTTTTTAATTGGAACAAGGTAAATAATGTTACTTTTACGTAGTTTCAATGTCACTTACTGTGTTTTTTATGAATATAGACAAGTGTGCGTTACGTCCAAATATTTATTAAGGGTTTCAGTACTACATTTATGACAAACAATTTTGCCGAGGACATTTTTAAGACACTCCAAATTATTTTGTTTTTCCCATAATTTTAAGGAAGGGTTGAGATTAATGATGTGGTGGTGTTGAAGTTGTAAGAAAGAGAACATGTGGGGACATTGAATGGTCCATCGTGTAACATCCATGTGGAAAGGATTGAGTGAAGCCACTGGGAGTAATTTCACTAATCAAATCTATCAATTTTGAATTTCTATTTCCCTTCGTTGTTTGAATTTGGAATTGCTGAAAAGATAAAATCAATTTAAGAACATAATATTACTCTAAATGATTCGACGAAAATATAAATATTATTTTTTATCCAATGAATTCCTTTATTTGAGTGAGTTTACTTCGATCTTTGCTCCATCGTAATAATAATAGTAAATTTAAAATAAAATATGTATTTTTAATCTTTTTCTCCACGGATTAAAAATATGTTATCATTATATTATAACCATTACAATTTTTATTTTTATTATACTAAGTCAATATAAAGTTGAGTATTATATTTTTAAAATAAGATAAATATTACTTTCATGATATTAAATATAAAAATTCCTTTTTAAAATGAAAAATGTGATAAAATTATATATTAATTAAAAATATGATAATATTATAATATATAAATAAGTATAATTTTTATTATAATTAATTTTATAAAATTAAATTAGATATCTCACTCTAAACTAAAATATATAAATAAATTAAACAGAAATACAAATCAGAATTATCAATTAGATTTTAATTCATATACTATGAAAATAATAAACTTAAAAAATCAAAATTTTAAAATAAATTTATATTTTTAGTCAATATATAATTTTTAATTTTTTATTTAATTATTATATTATACTTTCAATTATTTTCAACGTAGAATCTTTGTTTCCTAATAAAATTACACCACTGCACCAATATTTCTTTATGATAAATATGTGGTACATTTTATTAAATAAAAAAATTAAATATATACAAAGAGGGAGATAGAGAGATAAGGAGAGGTTTATATGGTTAAATTATTAATTCACTGTTTTAAACTAGTGTCATTAAAAAGTAATTTATTTTAAAACAATTAGGTTTAAAAAGGTGGCCTTTTTCCTGATTGTCAAATTGTGTCTATTGGATAATAAAGATGGGTAAGTTTTCTTCCCAACTCCGAACATAAAGGCGATAATTTTTAATCTTTTAGTCAATTCACTTTTGATTCTAAATTGAAAAATCAAAATTCATATAAAATTAGAGATAGGGTCTGAAAATAAAAATAATGTATGATGGAAGAAAACTTTTACCTAATAAATCAATTTTATGATATTAAATTAGACCTAAAAAACATGATCTAAGATGGTATAACATAAATAAGCATATTTAAGAAATATTCAAAATCCTACCTAAACTAAAGTTAGTGTCATAAATGGATACCCTTATCATAAAACCAGAAAACATGCATGTGTTAATGTTGATAGCATTGTGAATAACTATTAATTTGACCGTGGTTAATATTTATTGTGGAATAAGTTCGGTGAATTTTAACCAATGATAATTAATACTATTGTTGTGGTACGTAGTGTCTATGAAAGTAAAGTTTTCAGAAATAGAAAAAAAAAATATCTTCCCTCTCACTCAATCATAAAAATAATCTTTTGTGTTTTATAATTTTTTAAATTTAGATTTAACCTAACCCCTTCTTTTAAGAGTATAAATAAATGGTGAACCAAAAACAAAATGGAAATAGGGCCGCAGAATCTACTCAAAGTCAAAATATGTTAGTTTTCCTTGTTTGTTGGTCAAGTTTTCTTAAATTTTATTACGCATTAATTCACAACCTCATACTTCTTCGTTCCTTTTTCTATTTTATTGTCTTAAATGTTATTTTATTGTTTTTTTCTAATTAATTCATTGAATGAGTACTGAAAAACAAAAATAGTTGAAGTTTTTAAACCACCTAATGCTTCTGTAGAATTTTAAAATATGGGAAAGATTGGTAAAACAAAAATGCACGAGAATAACTTAATTAATTTAAAATTCACTACAATAAAATTATTAAATATAATTATTTTAAAGACAAACATTTTTAATCATCACACTAATTAACTTAAAAATTATTTTAACTAAATTTGTTTTTAAGTAAAATCTAATTTGTTATTTGATCTTAACAATTAAAATTTTAGATATAAAAATTAGGTTGTAATTAATAATTTAGAATCTAGTTTTTAATTAGTAGCTAAAGTTAGAGGTCAACTTAACTAGAATAGTTTATAACTTATTAATATAATGACTAAATATTTTTATCTCTAAATTAATGAATTATGGTAATTTTTATGATCATTATATTATAAAAAAAAGTATCTAAGTTTAACGTAATAAATACTATATATATATGAACTCTCATTTACTACTTGTGTGAGTTTACTAATCACTTTTATAATAATTATCTACAATAATACTTATGATAATAATAGACTAATAATACCCATAATTTGGATATAATGTTGTCTTTTACAGAAATAACCCCCTATTTGGTACGAGAAGAAGGCAAAGTAGTCCCAATTTTTTTAGATAGCACGGTGTAAAGGAGACAAAGAAAACTCATTGTCGTCTTATGTCATTATCAAGTTAATCATTTAATATTGTTTGTCTTTGTTAAATTTTTTAATGATTTTATTTTATCATCAAACCGAAAGTGAGTGGAGAATGCCACAATAATTGGTCCATATAAAAATTTAATTAAAACAAAAATCAAATCGGTATAGTCGCAATGTTTGTTGAAAATTAATGAATGCGAAGCCATTAATGCTCTATGCTTTCCTCATCAAAAGTTGGCTACATATATTATTCACTGAATGAGATTTGGTTCAAAATTAATCATCAAATCTCAGTTGTTGAAAACCATGCATTATATTGTAATAAGACAAGACGTAGAACCAAAACAATTTATTTGTTGCGATTCTTTTTCAGGTATAAATATATTATACATAAAAAAAAGTTTTAACTATTGTTTGTTTTAAATGTTTCTTATATCTCAGTTTATCCTTTGCACCAAATCACAAAACACCTTTTATACACTTTCGTGTGATTTATTTTTTCAATTAGCAAAATAAATAAAAAATCAATAAGGAAATAAAGTGTTTTTGTCACATATTGTTGGAGGAAAGCAGAAATTTGAAGTTACTCTTGTAGAACCAAAGCAAACTTGAGAATTTTGATTGTGTTCAGTGGATGAGACATAAATAATCGTACTGAAATATAATGACAAAACAACCGTTGATAAAAGTAAAGAAAGATAAAGCACTTTTTTTCATGATGGTATTAACATATTAAATGGAACTTATTTATATTTTTTTTTGTCTGAATCTGATATTAATTAAATATGGAATGGATCATTCTTTTGATTGGAAAACAGGAGAATCCATCGGTTCCCACGATCACTTTCCTAATTTCAAGATATAATAATTTATCATTATTTGTTGCTTTGTTTTGAATTGAAACTTCATCTTGAGACTCAGGTCACGAATTGAAGTTCTTTGAGAATAATATTGTAGTCTTGCTACCCACTTACCATGCCATTACCATAATTCAGCTCCCCACGTAAACGTGTCTCTGCAATTTCATTTTTCTTTACACTTTGAATATTGAATTTTTAAAATGACAAAGCAACACAGTATTTGTATCTGACCCTTATGTTTATGTACTTGATCACCAACTCAGTCAGCACTCTGATCATTTGTTTTTTTCAGTCGTTTATTTGTTGCCTCACTCTGATTAACATTACACTATTTGTTTTAATATGGTTGGTTGAATATAAAATGACACCATTCCATTAAAACAAAAGCTCTTCTACTTTCTCTAATTAATTTCTTCCATGTTTGTTAGCCATGTGATATAGTGACATGTCACCTTTTAGTCAGCACTTGGTACAAATTAACTTCTGTTAAAACAATGCACCAGTTGTTAGTGATTGTAACATGTTTTGTATATTTTAAATGCAGACTTAATTAAAATCTGAACACACAAATTGTGCACAATTCACTTTATTCTCAAGGATGTTCATGTTGTGAGTTGTGGGGTTGATTTACAGAGATAATTGCCTCTGATATCAGAAACCCAAAAAGGGTGATTACTATGATACTTAATTGCTAAAGTCCTGCAGAGTATGATTATGTTACTTGCTGCACTTGATTTCTAGTTTTGACTTTTGTTTTGTAATGATGATTGATGATGCTGAGAATGGCTAGCTGAAAGAGCTGTGCCGTGTAGGATTTGGAACCATATGAGACAGATTTCTGCACTTTTGTCATCTTCATAATATCTCCTCAAATATTGTTTCCAAGTCAATTCAACTATTATGGATCAGAAATTTGAAAATTATTAATCTATATTTAGTTAATATATTATATAAAATTATGAAAATTATAAATGATTCATAATATCAATCTAAAATAAATATCTAATATTAAATATGTTTTAATTAAGCTTAATATTTTATATTATAAAAAATATTTATTTTTTTATGATTTATATAGTAGATTGTTCACCAATATTTCTAATCTTAGTCCAAGTTAAATTTTTTTAATTAAAATATAAATTTATATTTTTCAGACGTTTCTTATTTTTTATTTGTTTTAACATTCAAATAAAATATTATAAAATATTAAAATAATTAATTTATTTTTACTAAATAATAAACATACTAATATGTTAATAGTGTAGAAAATAATAAAAAATATATTTGTTTATTTTTTATTCTTTATCTAAAAAATATTAAAAAATATTAAAAAATATTTTAGTTTCTATTTTTTATTGCTAATATTTCATGTTTTCATTATGAACATAAGAAAAAAAAATTAAAAAATTACAAATTTTATAAGAATGAAACTGTAAAAATAAAAATAAAAATAGAAGAATAATAAAAAATATAAAAATATGAATATATAAAATTAAAATACAGATAATAAAAAGGTAAAATAATAATAATATAATATGGGGAGGGGTGTCCACCAACGTCTTCTTGTTCTGTCTCTGCATGTTCATGAAAATCAATTAATATAAATACTTGACTTCAACAATTTTTTTTATCTTTTTAAATTTAGTTGGGTTATTCTAATTCGGTGGTTTGATTTAGATTTAGATATAGTTTGGTTGAATAGAAAAAGTGTAAATTTAAATAGTTTCATTTGTGTTTGTTGGTCCAACAGTACTTAAGGTATTTTTAGGAGTATATATGATAAATACTCATTACATATACAAGAATGAAATGAGTTTGGCTTTAGTATATTTTGATTCACTTTAAGGGTGAGTTGAATAGAAAGGTTGACTTTCTGAACCACAATGATGCAAATGATGACCCTAAATCCAACTAACAAATCTTGAATGAAATTGAAAGGTGACAGTGTCCTCCATGCAAAACACACACGTTGATGTCAATGCTTTGCTATGCTCATTTTGCCAGCTAGCAATGCCCAACAACACATGCACAATCAAAGAAACCTAATAATGTATACATCATACATGCACCAACAACCACCATCAAAGTGTGATGGAGATAATTCCTAGTCAGTATTCATTTTAAGATTTCGTTTACTTCTTCTCCATTGCCAATTAGCATCAATAATCCAAAGGTATAGTTGAGATAGATTCAAATCATTAGTGTGAGAAGAGATTTAAATAGGATTATAAATTTGACTCATCCTATTGACTTCTTCAATAGATAAGATATGTACAACAAAAAGATCAAAGCCGCGTCATGATCATTTTAATATTTATAAAACACAAGTTTTGATCTTTTTCTTTCCAACAACATGTCAATATCCTGTGAGAGGTAAATTAGAAAATATGAAAAAGCTTTAATGTTTCACGTAATTGTCACTTGCTGATAAAGTGGACAACGAAATGAGCTTCACTTTTTTTCTTTTTGGTTGAATTTGGGCTCATGCAAGCTATTTATTCCGCGCTCCCAAGAAACTAGAACCAACACTCCTTTGATTATGGAAAGGGTAATTCAAAATGTAAAACAATTTTTTTTTAGTTACTAGGGATAAAAAATGCCTCAATATTGTATGAATATCAAGAACTGCAAGTGCTTAGAATTAGCTTAGGAGAGTTGTAGAATAGAAAAATAATTAGGTTAAATGACATTTTTCTCCGCCACGCTCATTGAATTTTTACTTTTTTTTTTTTTTATGTCGACCCATATATTAAAAAAAAGGTTTTGTTGAGAACGATGATGTCCACTTTTGAAACACCAGCTCAATTTTTAGCTTTGAATATTATCAATTAGGTTTTTGAGTCATGTAACTTACGTTCTTAGTCATGCTAAAAATCTTTCCATAAAATAATATTTCTTGCTTAAATAAATTATTTTGAACGCCCTCGTAGAATGGAAATATTTACAAATTCTCTATTTGTACGTCAAATTTGTTGAGCTCGATCAAAAATTATAAACAGGGATTATTAATTCATTACTACAAACGTAATACCTTACAATTATATTTTAAAAATATCTCATCCCCACCAAGAATTTTACATTAAATATAAGTTGATACATACACCATTTTTAACTTAATAGTGTATTTTCCATAGACAATAGAAGAAAACAAAACCTCGTGTATTAACACCCCATTTCAATAACCATATAAATTTGTTTTATCAATAATAATAATAATAATAATAATAATAATAATAAAATTATCTTTATGGTGGATCATTGAAATTAGGGTTGTCTATTAATTTTTTTAAAAGATATTATATAAGAATCAAATCCGATAATACCTCAAAAACCGTAAGATCAACAATGCTAAATGAAAAACCGTAAGATCAAGTCATAAGACTCTCTAGCTCTTCAGTCTTTTGCTGGATAAAAATGTTCCATCTCCCGAAACACCAACATTGAATATAAATACATACTAAATATAATTTATATACAATCTCTCTTAATCCACTTAATGTCCTTTTAAAGAATAAAATCATGGAAACTAATAGAATCAAGAACATAACAAACTTGGGCAGAACAAAAATGTAAAACCTTAGAAAAAAAATAGTCAAGCTACGCATGTTTAAAAGGCTTACCAGTATATAAAAATACTAACATGCTAAGAGTAGCATTACATTCACTACATTGAACAGTCCAAAAGAACCTTCTGCAATGGAGATTGATTACCACCACCACAAAATTAAATAGTTTAGGCATGTCCATGGTGACCATGCCAAAATCATATTTAGCACCAAAATAAGATACAAAATATAAATTTAGCACCACTGTCTGATATATCCCTTTCAGCTTCCGCTCTAATATTTTATTAACATCAATGGGAAACAATGACCTAACCAGAATTTCTATCACCCCCAAAACCAGACTCTAGAAATCCAGTTTTGCTCAGATGACTGACATCACCCCACACTTTCAAGGTACATTTCTCCTCACCGTACAGGTGGAAAACACTAACACATGTATTGAGTACCTTCCCAGGCCTTCCGTTTGGACATGCCCACTTGTAAAGGGCTCTGATGAATCCTCCATGAGTGACAACGATTATCCGCTCCCCTGCAATTAGCAAGGCAAACATCAGCCTAATGTAGCTGTGAGTGGACTTTGAAAAGGTATCAATATACAAAAAGCATGTTATTTTGGTGCATCTGAATGAGATTATTGCATGTAGAATAAAGCTAGCTAGGTTGGGTGGCAACTAAAAAACAGGGTGTCATGTATTGAGATTATGGCACGAACTAAAATGATTTCATATAAAACCAGTTATTAATTACGAAAAACATAATTTCCATGCTATGTCATCATGTGCTGGTAGCCTACCTTTATGCTTTAAGCCAATTCTAAGCAATGCAGATGTGCTGCGATCAAAAAGTTGAACAAGACTTTCTCCACCACCCTGCACAATTGTATATGGACCAATGTTATGTATATGCAAAATTTAAGGCATTCAGTATATTCATAGTGTCTGTTTGCATCAGGAGTCAAATGGAGTTTGCCTACTGGAGAATTTTTTTTATTTTGGAAAGATGGACTTGAAAAGTGTGACTCTACGTTAGGAAGTGTGAAAACTCCGTTAAGCAAAGAACACAAACAGAGCCAAAGTTATAAACTGAATGACAAACATCAAGTCATAAACTGTTATCTACATGTATGTTTGTATTCACATTTCTGAATTGAGCAGCAGGTATTAGCCCATGCTTGGTTAGAGAAGAAGTAATCACTTATTTTACAAAAGCTATATTCGAGAGTTCATAAAAATAACCGATTATTTCATCAAAATAAATTGAAATAGAAACACACACATACACATAATTTACTTACATAATCTCAATTCTCTCTTTAGTCATAACTGAGGTCATGACACAATCAGAAACACTTTTGTAATGAAAGGCAATACCAAGATATAAGCAGGACTCCTTCAAACAGTTGCTTAATGAACTGAAATTTAAGGAGGTTACACAAATGATTCTCATTTGTGATAACAAGTTGTCCTTCACATTATTTCAAATTCAGTATACCATGAAAAGAGTAAACATTTTGAAATAGATTGCTACTTCATTCAAGAAAAGATTTTATTAGGAGACATTACTACTCAATTTATTAATTCTAATTATCAATTAGCATATGTCTTCAGCAAATTATTACAGGTCCTATAATTGATTATATATCATAAACTTGGTGTATATGATTTATATACTCCAGCTTGAAGAGGATTGTTAGATGTATTTTATATATGGGCTTGAGCCCATTTTCTATGTAATGCTATGCTATGGTATAATATATATATGTGTGTGTATTACCCTTTCATAGGGCGTCCATCACACATGATTACCCTTTCTCTCTACAACATATATCCTGTATTATTAGGAATTCCATGCATACAAGATGGTTTCTTTGAAACTTACTGGTATTTCTTCATCTTCATTCTTAGACACAAAAGCCTTGTAAGCTAAGGGATTAGTTTTTGCTATTTCATGATAGACATGGCCTTGAAGATCCCCTAGGTGTCTTTCCCGTAGCTCAGAATCCTTGACAACCTAAAATTTCAACAGAAGGAAAGTATTGTTAGGATTTAGGAAAAAGAAAGTGGTCACAAGTATGAAATATGAGTTGAATTAAGAAACTAAATAACTATGGAACCAGTAGGATAGAAGGAAAAAAATGGATGTTAGTCAAGAATCCAGTTATTCAGAAATGCCATTCTCTTTTTCTCCTTTCTATCCAGGATTTAACGCTCTTGATATTAGAAAATGAGTAAAGTGAAAAATTAAGGGTTTGATTTTGACTAAAGCACAACATAAATTTAATTCACTTCAAATCAAGGGTGAACATGCCCTTACTTTCTCACTTTGGAGAAGTCAAATCCCTTTATCTCAACCCAATAATGTCAACTCTATCTAAGGAAAAAGAATAATGCATTTCTGTTACTTCATATCTACTAAGAAATGACAAGATCACTTCAAGCATAATTCTTAGATTTTGGGTTAGAGTCTTCCGTAACCTACAAAATCAATTTATAAGTCAAGAATTCTTCAAGCCTTGTAAACACTGCTTAAGCCACATGTCTAGGCATGTGGCATCTCAACCTGCTAAGAGAGGACATGGTTCCACTCTAGGATGCTTCACTCGATCTCTCTAGTTAGTGCCGTTAGTAAGTAGACCTTTATGAGAGACTACGGCTTAGGGGTGATTGCAATTAAGGCAGTTTTTCAACAATAGTCAATCTATAGTTGAGATACTGATAAAAGGCAAAAATGTTTGAAAGCCCATAAACCAGAAAAGCCAATGACTTCAAGCATAAAAAATGATAAAATGGGAATCATTATAGCACTTATAACTTGTTACAATTCAATCAATGATATGCAACATGAAGAAGGCTTTAAGCTCAAACCTCTAGCCCTCCACACTTGGATGCAATTATCTCTGCTGTTTCAAAAGCTCGTTGCAAGTCAGAGGAATATATAACAGAGACCTTAGATTCCCTGGATAGTCTATCACCCACCTCAATTTTAAAATTTACAGGAATTAGGGTCACAAAGGCATAAATAAGAAAAATGTAAGGTAAGGCTCCAGCCTTGGTTTGTATATGGAAATAAAAGAATGTAAAAAGCACAACTTACTACAGCTGCTTGCTCTCTTCCAGTTTCATTTAACTCAACATCCAGGTGTCCCTGTTTACATATGACTGAAATTTGAATATACCAAGGCCAGGAAATTCCAAAAAGGAACCACTTATATAAGAAATAATGCACAAGAATAAAAAATATTAAATATAAACAAATAGATGATAGATATTCATATCACTGTAGAAAGACTACGCATGAAAAAATGAACAAACCATACTAATTGCCCTTGTTAAGGTTCAGCATTATTGAATAACTGGCACACCCACAGGTCACCCGCAATATTCTTGCTAAAATATTCTACAAATTATATTAATTATTTAGAGAAAAAGGTACTTAAATCAGGTGATAACTTCACATCACCAAAATTCATATTGAAGTGAGGAATAGCTACAGCAGTTCACGAGGGAAGAACACTCCACATGTTAATTTTTTTTATAATACAACGACGTTATTAGACTTTTATCCCAAGTTTATTTTACCTAAAAGCATGAATTATATATGTTATTATTGATTCTATAAAACTAAGAGTAGAAGTGGAGAATTGAGTCATCACACGGAAATGCTATTTACTTTGTAAAGTATTTGTCTGGAAAACCTAAATCGTTGTATCTGTTGAAAGTAAAAAAATGCGATATTCAATGGAATTATGAAACCCATCTGGTACGATAGAAAAAAAACACCTGGATTTTGGCAGTAGCATTCCAAGCTGTTTCCCCGTGACGCACCACAACAATTTCCGCATAATCAGGATGGGGGCTGTTTTTTACCAATGAGTTTGAGAATGAAGGGTTATGGAAAACTGAATTAGAGAATAGGGAAACTCATTTAAATCGAGAAATGTTGATGTAAATAAGTGATTTTGTGTTTTCAGAATCATAAGCATAAGCATGTTATGTAAGACGAAGAAGGGAGAGAAGAAAAAAGGGAACCTGAAATGGGAATTGTTATTGCTGGAAAACTCGGCCATGAGCGTGAGTCAGAGTCAACCAGTGAAGCTGCGTGATTTGGCTAAACGTTGTTTCTGTTTATGTAACCACTCTTCATTTTTTTCAAAGCTATGCTTTTACGTTCAAGTCTTTTCTCATGTACCCATGTTTTTAATTCAGCACATGAGATTAAACCTGTTACTTTAAGGTTTAACAATTTGATCCAATCCAATTTAATTAGAATGAAATTAATATTAATAAATTTATTTTAATTATTACAAAAATATAAATAATTTTTAAAAATACATAACATCATACTTTTATAACTTTATAATGTTAAAAAGTAAAATAAAATATAAAACTGTAATTCTTACATTTTAAAATATATAAAAATTTAAATAAAATATTTGTATTATTTAAATTAAAATTTTAATAATACACATTAGTTATTAATTACAATAAATTTATATTTGGAATAAAAAAATAACTAATATTTTAGGTCAATTTTTTATTTTTAAAAAATAAAAATTATAATTTTTTTTATTTTCTTTACCTATTTAACTTATTTGATATTCATTAGGATTAGGATTGTTTACGATTTGGGTTGAATCGTGTTTCACTAAATCAATTATCTAATTTAATAAAAAAAATTAGATTTTTATTTAAATTTTTTTCATTTTTTTACTCAATTTAATCTTTTGATTGGAGATTGGATTAGAATATAATTCTATTTTATATTTAAATTTTTAACTTAAAAATATTATTTTGTTATTTTTTAAATATATTTTTAAAAATAAATTATATTATTTAATAATTGAAAATTTTAATATGTCAATATATATATATATATATTTAATTAATAGAATAATTAAATAAATTAAATAATAATTATATTATTATTATTATCAAGTTAAATGGGGTATGAAAACCCCTGGCTTGACAGTTGCATCCTTTCTTTAACAAAGGTCCGAAATTTATTTTCCTATTTGATGATGGAATTGATGGGTGTCTCGCTTTATTTTAAAAATAGTCCAATTAGTAAGAAAAATATTAATTAGGTATGAAATAGAAGATTCTACATATCTCCTTCTTACACTAAAAACAAATTTAATTGGAAAATAATCACTTTAATCTTCAAAAGGTTAATATTTCAAAACTTACTTCTTCTATGTTTACAAAATTGTTCATGTGAAATGATCATATTGTTTGGAAACTTAATTATTTATTGTCATCTTGCCGCTTAATTTGGTCATTTAACTATATTTTAAGAACTAAATTTAATCATTTATTATTATTTTAAGTTTTCAATATTTTAAATTTAAATTAGATATAGTAAAAATGATAGTAAATAATGATTAAAATATAATCATGAAATAAAATAACTAGTTAAGTTCAAGAATTAAAATCACGTTCAAGGTAAATTACGACCTATGTTCGGATTTTTTTATTATTATTAAACAGGTAAAAAAATGTGATGGTAAAAATTTTATTATTATTAAACAGGTAAAAAAAATGTGATGGTAAAAAAATTTATTAAAATGGGTTGAATCATGAATAAACTGTGTTTGGAAGTGCAAGTTTGGCCATCAATTTCAAAATCGTAGTGTGTAATACAATTTTAATTATTTAAAAAAAAACTATTTAGTACGAGTTCAGTATTATTATTTTTATATTGAACTTGCTAGTACGAGTTTCTTTATATATATATATATATATATATATATATATATATATTTTAAATAGGATAATTTTATTTTTTTAAATATATTATTTATTAAATAATTCATTTCAAATTAATTATTAATTTAATAGAAAATAAAAATATTTAGAGAAACAGGGATAAATTTAGTTAAATATATTTATATTAAAATATTAAACAAATATATACATTGATATAAAAATTAAAGTAAAAAAATTAATTGTGAGAATATGTTCCACAAAAGATAGTTTTCTGATTTATCATTTGGGTCTACGTGATTGTTTTAAGTGGATTTTTGTTGTGCTTGAATAGTATGCCTACGAGCATGAGATGATTTAGATTAAATATTTGTTTGTCTATCATCTTTATCCTCTTCATTTGCATATTATATAGGGAATATACTAAGTATAGTAGTTATGAAAAATGTTTAATTATATGCTGATTGTGGAGTCATGAAAGAGGTGGAAAACATATTTGTTTCGAATGGAAGTGAAGTAAATATTTGAGAAATTTGTCTTCCAAATTGAATTGAGTAGATAAATTTTGAAGTTTACCAATATATCCAAAAAATGGATAAGGTTTTTTTATTATTCGATTGACCAACATGTTGATGACTGGACTGACCAACATGAACATGACTAGGTTGACCAATATATTGGGGTTGTTCCTACTGTTGTGTATCGTACTAATAACAAAAATGAATATTAGTTTGATATCAATGTTATATATATATATATATATATATATATATATAAATATATACTTATTGATATACTTATTTCGTCATCCGAATATTCTTTTTTAGTATAGGAAATATATTTGATAGTACGTTGAAAATATAAAATCATATATGGTGTATTTTCACACAAGTGACCATTTTGCTTGAACTCGTTTCCTTGAATTAATTGATTTTGACGGTCATTTCACATAATAATCTAAGTTTCATGGTATTGAGGTCAAAATCTATCGGGTTTACTTCTCATGTCTTCCCTATAGAGTTTGTCAAGATTGATCGGGTCTTTTAGAATTAGTTGTCGAAGGCCAAATTGTCTTATAACCCGATTTGCTAGATGAGGCTAACAATAGCAAAACATATAATTATAACCATAACATGACTCACAGGAAAAACCTCAATGTTTATTAGTTGTCGTAACCTAAATTGACAACAAGGAGTCCACAAAAACTATATTATTTTGTAAAACTTGTGAAATTAGAATTATTATCATTTAATAATTACATATTGAAAGTTGCAATAAATGAAATACTTCCTTTGGTTTTAATTGATCAAATGTTAAACTTAATGCATATAAACATATGTAACAACGTTAGACCTTTGTCCTGGTCATGACCACTTATTGCATACAAAAAATATATTATTATAAAATGAAGTAATTTGAAAAAAATGGAATAAAAAAATATAAAAGAAATTTGAATACCTTTTACCCAATGGAAAATCATACCTTGTAGCAATCTTCTTATTGGTTAAATCTTCTACTTTAAGACAAATGCATGTAATATGATTTCATGCTCAAGCTTAAAACAATAACATAATGTTCTCTTGATGGTAGTCAACGTTATGATCTAACGCTCTATATAGACATGCTAAAACAATTGATCCCCAATTATAGTTTGGTTCTACAATAATAGTAGATACATTAAGTGCACTCTAGATGCTGAAGTATCAGGTAATCATAAGCTCCCTATTATTGTCAATATGTGTACCCTGACATATTGTGTCACAACATTATCATCTGCATGATTTAAAAAGTGTTAAAAAATGAAGTGTTTAATCAAGATAATTTTATTGTGTTCCTTGTAACAACACCTTGCGGTGGAGATGAACTTAATAAAGGTTCATAAAAGACCGTCCAATCTCCATTGTTAAGACCTATATTTGGCAATCCATCAATGGATAAACCTAATTGTAAGGCCATATTTTCTTATGTAACTGTGACTTCTTCAATGGAAAAATGAAAGCTGAGAGTTTCAGTTTTCCACATTTCAATTAACATTGTGATCAAATGATGATTGATATAAATAGTTCCAATTGTCGTCAATTGTCCAAATCCAGCCTGATAGATCAAGTTTTTAACTCGATCGTCCAACATGTATGCATGTTTTGTTATCATGTCATATATTTATTATCACTATGTTATGTCATATAGGATCCAGTAATATATAATTTCCTTTCTATAATATTTTTGTGGCATGTTTGTCTTGAAGACATTATAAGGACATTGAAGAAAGAGATTGTGAAAAACTATTTTCTAAATTATACATGTTAATATTAACAATGAACAAAATGAAAAACAAAAAAAAAACATTAACAATAAGGAAAACAAAAAAAACATATTAATAATAATATTAATATGAAAAAAAAATGAAAAATAGTAAAATAATAATAATATTAACAACAACAATAATAATAATAATAATATTAACAAAATAAAAACAAAAAAATAGTAACAATAATATTAATAATATTAACAAATTAAAAAGAAACAAAATAAATATTAATAATAATAACAATATTAACAATAATATGAACAAAATGTAAAAAAAAAAACAAAAAAAACTAATTTTAACAAAATAAAAAGCAAAAAAAAATATAATAATAATAATATTAAAAAAAATAACAACAATAATAATAATAATAATAAAATATGAACAAAATGCAAAAACAGAACAAAAAATATTAACAAAATAAAAAACAGAAAAGTAAATATCAACAATAATATGAACAAAATGAAAAATAGTAAAAAAGAATAATATTAACAAAATAAAAAGTGACAAAAAATAATATTAAGAATAATTTAAATAATAACATATTAGATGATAGTGATGTTAGACAAGTATTGTTAAACTCTTGTGTCATTGTTAATATTATTTTTGAATTAGTTAAAACAGATCATTTGTTTTTATTAAAACTTTGATTGTAAAAGTCAAAGACAAACATAGTTATATAGTAACTTACAGAAAGTATGGGTAACAAAACAAAAGACGTTTGTTGTGATATTCGGAGACTGGGACGATGTTAGGAATACAAGCTGAGATCAAGAGGGTGAATTGACCTTTTGAAATCTTTTTGCAATTTTACATATTACCAACTAAAGAATTAAATGAAATTAATCTTTATTTGAAACAATTAACAGAACAACATTTTACACAATAAGATGAGAAGGAAGAGAGACAAGAACACAAACATTTGTATTCTGGTTCACCCAAATCACCAGGCTACCTTCAATTCTCAACCAATTTTAGTTGAGTTCCACTAATCAAAGTTTATTGATTGCAAGATACAACCAATATAAATCTTATCTACACCAAGAACTACAATCAGTTCTTGAAACAACAATTACACTTCTAGTCGCATAAATCAGTGTCCAAGATTTCCAGACACCACAAGAACATAAACAAGACAAAGAGATACATATTTGAAGAAACACAGTAGACTAATGAAGAAATCCAAACATAAGTCAAGTCTCTTTCAGCAAAAAAACTAGAATGCCTCTTTTAAAAATTTTCACAGATTTTGAACATATAAGATACACTTTTCTCTCAAAATGAATCACAAATGATAACAAGATTGATTTCTCAAAAGGTGTGTTTAATATGGAGTAGCAAATCTATTTATATAGATGTGATTTGAGAAAGGTTGTTACTTTTAATCAATTGATCCGATATTTAATCGATTAAAACAATTAAAAACAATTTAATGTTTAAGTTTATTTAACTTATACAAATGTGGTTTAATTAATTAAAACAGTTCTGTGATTTTTTCAAAGACAAAGTAACTGATAAAAACATTATATTAATAGATTAAAACAACTCTCTAAATTTTTCAGAGACAAATTAACTGATAAAAACTCTATATTAATCGATTAAAATATCTTTGTGAATTTTCAAAAGTTAAGTCAATAACATTTTAACAGATTAAAACTTCTCTTAATTAATTAAATCAGCGAACCTTGAAGTTTTTTCTCTTTTTAAGTGAATTTAATCTATTAAATCGAAAATGAATCGATTAAAAATGCGAGTCATGTAGTTTTCAATCTGTTTAAGTAAAATTAATTGATCAAAACAGCGATTCATGTAGTTCTTAATCTGTTTAAGTAGAATTAATCGATTAAAAAGACATATGGAGAACATATTAATAGATTAAACAGATTTTTAACCGATTAAAAATATTTTGAGGTACTTGTTTCCTTTTGCTTTATAAGAGAAGCTTAATCTTGGAAGTAAAGATTAGTGCTTACACTTAATGTAGACACACTTGAATTTAGAAAGCAAATCTTCCTTTTGACTGTTAGGATCGAGCGCTTACCACTAGGCCAAAAGCTATAGCCATTAGTCAGAGCGCAACTCTTTTTACTTTAACAGCCCAAGCGCCACGATTCAATTGTGACTCGGCCCACCTGACCTTCGTCACAGGACAATTGATGCTACCTGCAACAATCTCCCCCTCAGCAATTGTCCTACAAGGTATCCCACTCTTGGATTGTGACTTGACCCACCCGGCCTCTGCCACGGGACAATTGTGCAACCTGCAACAATCTCCCCCTCAACAATTGCCCACCAGGAATCGAACTCGTGACCTTGGCTCTGATACCAATTGTTAGGATCGAGCGCTTACCACTAGGCCAAAAGCTATAGCCATTAGTCAGAGCGCAACTCTTTTTACTTTAACAGCCCAAGCGCCACGATTCAATTGTGACTCGGCCCACCTGACCTTCGTCACAGGACAATTGATGCTACCTGCAACATTGACTTCATCAAATCATCCAAAGATCTTTTTCATGTTCTTCTTCATTAGATGAGTCATACAATGATCTTTTAAGATGGTTGTAAGTTGTTGAAGATAATAATATTGATACAATTATTCAATACATTTGTTCTTTTCATTTAGTGCATGGTGTCCATAGTTCATCGTTTATATTAAAACGTATCTTCTGGTAATTTAAGTCATGTATAGAAGACTTTAAATATTGTAAGCCAATTGTTCAAGTTGACGGTACATTTCTAACCGAAAATATCATGCTATGTTATTGATTGCAGCTTACAAAATGACAATAGAAACATATTTCCAATTGTATTTGCATTTGTGGAAGGTGAAACAAAAGAAGATTGATATGGTTTTTGTAACTTTTAAGATATTACATTACACCTCAAAAATAATTTATGCATGATAACAGACAAAGACAAATGAATATTGTCAGCTTTACAATCAAAAGATCTTGACTAGAATTATCTCACCTCAATGTAATGTATTTGTTATATTGTCACAAATTTCAACAAAAAGTTTAAAAATGTTGATTTGAAAAGACAATTCATCAATCTAGGAAATATCTAACCTACACAAAAAATTTTCTCTAAATAACATATGTCTAGAATTATATTTTTCTATGCAGGATATGAGATAAAACAACCCACAATTTTAGCAAAACTAACTGTTTTACCGTCTGACTTTAAACAACAAATGTCCTGGTTAGATGAGATTCCATTGGAGAAATGAATTCAAGCTTATGATAGAGGAAAACGATAAAAACATATGACAATAAATCTTTTTGAGTCCATGAATTTTGTTCTCAAAGGAGCACAAGTTTTACCAATATTTGTCTTAGAAAAATAACTTTTGAAAGAATTAAATATTGATTTTTGGAAAGAAACATGAAAACAGAGTACATGTTAAGAGTATCCATAACATATTACTACATTGCTTAACAAAAACTAACAACAGCGAGAATGTATCATGTTCAAAGGTACAATCGAGATAATTTCGAGTTTGACGTACAAGACCAATCCAAACCCCACCATCATAGAAGATAGTTAAACTATACAGTTCGATTAAATCAATGGTGGTATGATTGTGGGAAATTTCAAGCTCTTTGGCTCCCTTATTCTTATATTATTGTTGTCTATTACTCTTGTCATTTACAACTGCATTTATCGATTTGGTTTACGAATTACAAAATATTCATAAGGCATGTGAATTTTAATTTGGTTCGATTCGAAATGAAAATTATTGATCTATTTATACAAGTCCAAATTTTTGTCTTGATCTTAATATACATCGAGAAGCATTATAAAGACATACAACTAATCGGATTCGAAATGAAATAAATGTAAAAAGTGAAAATAAACCAAAAAGTGTTCCTTTTGTCAAAATAAAGGTATAAATTATCTATTTCGATAATAAATTTGTATTATTTTTAAAATAATATAATATTTTAATATAAATGTACTTAATTAAATTTATTCATATTTCTCTAAATATTTTTATTTTCTATTAAATTAATAATTAAATTATAATTAATTATTTTATAAATGATATATTTTAAAAAATAAAATAATACTATTTAAAAAAAACAAGAAACTCATGTTAGGGAATAAGAGTTCAATAAAAAAAATAATATTTTATTTCCTTAACACATTTTTTTTAAATCACTAAAATCGTGGCAATACGATTTTAGTGTTAACCGTTAAATTTATGTTTTCAAACAAAATTTTTTCGTACAAAGAATCGTTCTTCTAACTAAGATTTAACACATTTTTGGTAATTTTTTTTTTATTTTTTACCTCTTTACATAAAACAAGATTTTTTTACCCTATTTAGTAAAAAAAAAAGCCTAGCATGTTCCTAAGAAGTCCTTGAAATAAAGTAAATGTAAAACTACATTGACTTGAAAATTTACTTGAACAAGTTACAAAATTAAGATAAATGTAAAACAATTCTAGATTTATGATATAACCCACTTGCAACATGATAGGATCCAACCGCATATGCAGTAAGACTAATGATAACCTAAGCAGAAGTTGTGTTGAGATGGCTAACATCACCCCACATTTTTAAAGTCCAATTATCCTCGCCATAAAAGTGAAAAACAGCGACTGATGCATTGTCTATTTTCCCTGCATAGCTTCCTTTTGCATTGGCCCACTTGTAAAGTGTTTCGATGGATGCACCATGACTCACGACCACAACTCGTTCCCCTGCAATTTAAGACCCATATAAATCAACATAATGTACCCGTAAGTGCAGTTTACAGGGACATTCTTTATTCTGAGGGCCTAACTTGAGGCACTTTGGGAAAACATCACACAGTAACCTTGTCTACCTTTATGTTTTCTTCCAATTCTCAGCAATGCAGATTTGCAGCGTTCAAACAGTTGAATAAAACTTTCTCCACCACCCTGCACGTTATGCATATGCAAAATTCAAGACATTCATCATTCAATTATATAAATGTACCCTTCTCATCTCTTATTACGAATCTCATCACATATTTGTACTGTACTTACAAATATTATGCAAACAACGGATTTTATGCAAACAAACAGATTTGTACTGTACTTACAGGGAGTTCTCGATCATCATCCTTAGACACCAAAGCTTCAAAACCTATGGGATTAGTCTTCCACAATTCACGATAACAAAGGCCTTCAAGATCCCCCATGTGTCTTTCCCGTAGGTCCAAATCCTTCACAACCTACACTTTCAATCAAAGTTAAATAATATTAGAACATAGCTAAAGGTAGACTTATTTGTTATACAAAAACTATGAAAAGAATATTAATTAGAAATTGATTTAGATAAACAAAAAAATCAATTATGATATAGACTTATTTAAAATTTATTTTAGAAATTGAGTATTGTTAATTTTCAAATTATGTTGTATTGTCATCGAATAGGCTTCTAAATGAGTTATGAAGTTGGATTTGTAATAAGTTTAGTAACTAATTCTTTAAATTTAAAGATCATTAATTCAATCATTATAAACCGTTTTGTTATAGTAATGGTGAGACATTAGTGGTGTTAAAATATAATGAATGTGAAAGTGAATCAATGAAATGCAAGATTTGAAGAAGATGGACTTTTGTGTGTTCAAACCTCTAATCCTCCACATTTGACTGCAATTATCTGTGCTGTTTCAAAAGCCCGTTGCAGGTCAGAAGAATATATAGCAGAGATCTTTGATTCGCTGGATAGTCTATTAGCCACCTACACAATAAAATTTACAGTAATTAGGGTCATGAAGGCGTAAAAAACTAAGATACAAAGTTAAGGATCAAGTTTTGGTTTTGTATAAAGAAATTGGAGAATCCAATAAGCACAACTTACAGCAACTGCTTGTTTTCTTCCCGTTTCATTTAATTCAACATCCACTTGTCCCTGTATTTACACATACATATGGTCAAGGCATGAAAACTCTAAAAATCAGCAGAGCAATATTTTTAAAGAGTTTAATATATTTTTTATATTATCAATTAATAAAAATTGATGATGATTATAATTTCAATTTAAAGTAAATAAATGTAGCCTTCAAATTTATTTGAGATTGAATGAAAGTAAAAACATCTTATAAGATTAGATAGTTGTCGCCGCCGTCAAAACGACGCTGGTCGGAGCGACGCGATGGTTCCGACTTTCCAATTTTCGCGTTTTTATTGGTGTGGTTACAACGCCTTTAGGTTGTCCGATAACCGAGCTGAACCTAGAGACGAGGTTTTTGAAAGAGTGTTCTTGGATTTTCCGATAACCAGGCTAACCCAGGAACTAATTTTGAAGGGTTCTTCTGGAGTCGCCACCGATGTTTTTACCGGAAAATGAGTGAAAAGGCATTGGTTTTCGAAAAACCAACTTTGGTCATTAGAAACAAAGTTGGGTAAGGGAGTTAGTTACGTGTAAGGGAAGTGTTAGTTCCCTTACGACGCCCCTTTTGGGTTCCCTATGATAAGCCAACTATTTAAATAAGTAAATCGGTGAAAAGACGTTTTTACCCTTTTATTTGCGGAATTAACGTTACGACTACATGACCCTGATATCTATTACATAATTAAAAATAAAACAGTAAAAGAGAGAGGGAGAATGTAAAAACCTCCGAGGCAAGCTTTATATTAATTTCTTGAAAACTAGGGTGTTTTTTGGCAGTCCTTCACTCTTTACAGCGCCGGGAATCTCTCGAAAACGCCATAAAAAACTCTAAAAAGCTCTCAGAAACTCCAGAAATGCTTCGGAGGGGTTCTAGCAAGAGAATTTGAGGAAGTGATAGAAGAGAATATGAGAGAACTATGTGAAATGAAGGGGGAAGCGCTACTATTTATAGGGATTCGCGCCTATCAGGTCGAGACGACCGTCTCGTCTGACAAGGTCGAGACGGCCGTCTCGCCTTGCAAAAATGGCGAGAAGGCCGTCTCCCCAACCGGGAGGGCCGTCTCGCCAAAGGAGACGACAGTCTCGACTTGCGGAAGTGGCGAGACGGCGGTCCCGATAAGCGAGACGGCGGTCTCGACCCTAAAAGGCGAAAATCCTTATTTACATGCAGAAAATCCCTCCTATCCTAGTATGGGGCCTAATAGTCTCTCCTAATGGCTTCTTAGGCTTCATCCATCTTCGAAAAGGAGGTCTTCTGGTCTTTATTATGAGGCCGGACAAGATTTGGGGTCTACAGCTGCCCCCCCTTTACCCGACTAGTCGACTGCTGGCCTGTTGTGCCAAGGAGATCAACTAGAGGGTAAAGGAGTTGACCCTCCTGCCCGGTTGCCCTTCAGATGTTCCGTCTTTGTGATGGTTGATCTTCTGGGGAAAAGTGTGCTTCCAGGATGCTCCTCCATCAGTAGCTGATCCCTTCGGCTGATGAGTATGAACCCCCATCTGGTTTGACGAGTATGAACCCCCGCCCGGTAAGCCCCCTTCTGTAAGGCTTGATGAGTACACACCCCCATCTGGTGTTTGATGAGTATGAACCTCCGTCCGGTAAGCCCTCTTTTGTAAGGCTTGATGAGTTTATACCCCCATCAGGTGTTGTGCCTCCGGATGCCCCTTCTTGCGGTAGTTGACCCTTTGGCTGTGGTGGCGGCTTACTGCTCTAGCTCATGTGCCGGTTTGAGATGCGTTCTCCTGTTTTTTTATATTTGTTTTTGACTTTTCTGAAGTAGTCATCCGGATTTTGCCGAGGATTCGACTTTTCCGGTGGTCATCCAGCTTGTTGATTGCTGGAGATTCTTTGTTTTTTATCCTTTGGTAGTGGTTATCCGACTTTGCTGTTTGTCGGAGATTTTTTTTATGAGTGCCTCTTAGGTAGGCAGGAAATCCTCTGGGGATTTGTTGATATGGGTGACGCCTCTTGATCAGGCAGATATTCCATTAAGTTTCTCGTAATGCCTCTGCGTAGGCAGATGCTTCATCGGAAGTGAAGACTTTTGGTTTCATTTGTTTTTCCTCTGACTAGGCTGATATGGGGATGCTGGCTCTTGCTTGCTAGGTCTTGCCTATGCGTAGGCAAATGACATTCTGATGATGAATATGAAGTTTTGCCTTTGCAGTAGGCTCACTGGGGATGATCTTTCTCTTTTTGGTGATCCACCGGGGAATTGATTGCCTTCCCGGAGATCTAATTTTGATTTGCCCCCTGAGGGAATGGAGTTTTGACTCCCTGTTGGATGTTATTGGTATGAGCTGGCTTTGCCGATACTCTTGTTTTGTTGGGATTTCTGATTCCTTATTTTTCTTTGATTTTCCCTTTTCTCTAAGGTGACCCACTTAGGGAGCTAGGATTTTTATTTGATTTCACCTTTTTCCGCGATTTATATCTCTTTTTCACCAAAGTTTTCTTTGATGATCCACTAGGGGATTGTCGACTTCCTAGGGATTTGATTTTTCTTTTTTGGGATGGAGTCCTGGCTCCTTGATTAATGTGATGCAAGCTATACTTGTGAAGCTCTTATTCCACTGGGGGATGAGAATTTCTGATTCCTTCTTTTTGTAGAATTTTTTGGAGATCCACTTGAGAATTTTTATTCGGCCCTCTCTGTCATGACCTTCTTTGTCATCTGATGTAGATGAAGGGTTTTCTTTTCTCTTCTTGTCTCTTCTTTTTTCTTCTTTCTTTTTATTGAGCCCTTGATGGTTTGGACTCTTTTGACTGTTGATGATGATGGGCTCTTGAAGCCTTTATTCTCCATTGGGGAGTGTGGAGGAGACTTTGGGTGAGTGTGTTCGATGACTCATGTGATGACGATACTGAGCCATGAGGAGTATTTTTGTGTTGCCTCTGGAGTAGGCAAGGATCCTCTTAGGGATAACTAAGCCTTTCCGTCGGCTTTTATGATATCTGATGATTGTGCCCTCTTATATTGGGTAGAAGAATGATGACTGGAGCTTTGGCTTCTGGAAGCTTCTTATGACAACTCGCTCTTCTTTCTTGAGGGAGAACAATGTTTGAAGGCTTATTACTTTCTTGTGCCTTCTTTTCTGGGTAGAAGGATGGTAACTGGAGTTCTTGATTTTCAGAAGCTCTTATTCTGCTGAGTCGCTTGATTGACGACTTGCTCCATTTTATTGAGGGCATTATTTGGAGACTTGGTCTCGGAGATCCTGTTTTCAATCACAAACATGGAGCTAGTCTCCTTATATGCATGAATGTTTTTTTTTTTTGTTATTTACATGAAGTAATTTTTATTTCTTTTATTTTTTACCTTGACAAAGTCGTTTTGTGTGACTACTTGTGTGTGGATGCCTTGAATGCAATCTATCTTTTTTTTTTATTGATGCTTCTGGAAAAGTGACTGGCATTCTCCTGCTGGACTTTCATGATTATGATGAAGGCCCCTCTCTTTTATTCATTTTTTGGTTTACCTCTATCTTTTGCCTAGACCGCCCTTTTGGGGTTTTCGGTCTAGCGGACTGCATTAATTTTTGCCTAGGATATCTTAGCGGACTTTTTTCTTTTTTATGAATACCGTAACTTTTGCCTAGACCGCCCTTTTGCGGGTTTTCGATCTAGTGGGATACCCTAACTTTTGCCTAAGAATCTCCTAGCAGGCATTATACTTTTTATTGTCATTTTTTCTTTCTCTTCTTTTTTTCGAGAGATAGGAGTCTATCATATGCATGCATTGTTTGCTATATGCATCCTATAATACTATTTCATTTAATTTTTCAAAAGGATTAACCAATGTGCTTGAGCTTCCGACGTTATGTGCTTTGTCGACATGATAGGTTGTACCAATTTTGCCGTCTTGATCTTTCCATGATCGAAGAATGATTGTGTTGATTGTAGAGCAACTTGCCATGTCAGTGCGCCCCTCCCTTTCCTTGGGGATGTCAATCCTCCTATTGATTACTATCTTCACATTTCCCTACTAATTACTAGAATGTCGTAGTGGTAAGAGTCAAGAGAAGAGAAGGAAGATGATATTTAATTCAAAGGCTTGTGTTTTAGAATTGTTTTATTTTGACAAAAATGGTTTTTGTAAGCATGACTAGCCAAGGTTGGTTAGAGTGGTTAGGCTAGTTTAGACAAACGTTTTGTTTATGGTATAACGTCTTATTCTATGGGGCTTGCTATGACTGATTGACTTCCCTAGTCCGCCCTTTGGGTTCTTAGTCTAGGATGTTGTGTTTTGTTTTGTCCTAACTTTTGTCTAAGTTTCTTTTTTTGTTGCTTTGGGAAACCTAGCGGACTTTATTTCGTAATCCTAATTTTGTCCTAGGTTACCTTTTATGGTTGTTCGAGTTTCCTAGTGGGTTTACTCTAACTTTTGCGTAGCCCCCTTGGTGGGTTTCCTATCGGGTATCTTGCCTTTTTTTTTTCCTTCGGCTTCTATGGGCTTCTTTTGATTTTCTTTTCTCTTTGTACAACATTGGAGAAACACGACTTTATTATGATGAAGCGGAACCTTATTTTTTGTTTCTAGTCAATCAGTGATGATGGATTTGACTTTTATTTTAGTCAATGGCGCAGTTTGATTACTTTGACACGTTTTAAAAACGTTTGCTTAAACATGGTTATTAATGAGGTTTAGATATGAATAACAAGAAAAGAAGCAGATAGTAAGAATGACATTCTTTGTAATTAATAGGGAAATATGTGCCCTACAATGCTCGAGGGTCGGGCTAGCCTCGGGGAGTAATCTCTAATAGTCATTGGATTTACAAACCCTAAGAATCAGAAGGAGAACACCTAATGACTAAAGTCACTTTTGACGCTTGAACCCCTCTATTTGGGAAAATCTGATTCAAGGTGTGGAGGGGAGACTTCCCTTTTCTTCATGCAGCTTGATCCTTTGTAGGGTAATGCTTCAAAGGATTGTCTTTAAAATCTGGTGGTTCCCTTATTCCTTGAAAGTTTCTAATGAGCCCTTAGTTTGGGGCGGCATCTATATTTCCTC